GTCCAGCGGCGTCCTCCACTTAGTAAGCCATGAGAGGAGGATTTGAAAATGTTGAATAATTTAAATCTTAAAAACACTAGGCTGTTGATGTTTGCTATTATTACAAAACATACCAGGAATTAGTTTAAATGATTATTGGGCTGATTTTTTTTTTAAATTTTAACTAGGTTCTTATCATAATAAGATTCAATTATTGTAATTTCTTTTATATCCTTCTCTGGACAAGTAATATAAAAAAGCACATTAGTTTTATACTAACAGAACTTGGCAAAAATGTAAGAATAATTGAGAGAAGCCCCCATGGTAGTTCAAGGTAGGTTTGACACAGGATTCTGGTCTCTTTCTGAGAAGAGTCCTTGTCTTCCGCACCTGTGGAGCAAAGGGGTTATTAGATTTTCTAGATGTACATAGATATATTTTAGATAGGCATTCTTCATATCTTTCAAACAGATATCTGAGAGTTCAAGGACAGCCTGGTCTACAGAGTTACTTCAGGTCAAAGATACAGAGAACCTATCTCAAAAAGCAAAAAGTTAAAAGTAAAAATAAACAAAATAGAGGTTAAAATAAAACGAACAAAGATGGAAAATACAGAGAGAATCTTGATACTGTATGCTATTATGCTCTCTTTGAATTGTTTGAATGCAGAGGAAGGAGCAACAGCTGCTAAAAGATATTTATTTATAAATGCTGCTGAACTAATTATCAATTTACTGAACTAATCCAACATAGATATTTGGATGCCTTGACTTTGAAATTTGGATCTAAGGACATGATACTTTGGAAAGGAGTTTCTTATTTTGTTTTCACAGAGGGTGAGATTCTGTGGATTGCTTCCATCCCAATGTGGTATGATAGACCACGTCCTCCTGAATGGTTCCTGTGCACGCCTTCAAAAAATTGCTTCGCTCAATTGCCAACTGAGATGAAACTAGCACACAGGTTATACCATGAAAGACCTAATTAACGACGCCCCCATTCAGCAGGAAGCAGTTTGGAGAGAAATAACTGCGCCCATATTCCCAAAAAATGTTTATAAATGTTCTTTTACATTTAAAAGGGGATATGATATAGATATGAATAATTTGCATTAATATAGATTTTGCTTTATTGATAGAGATTTAAGGTCAATTTTGTTATATGTATAAGTGTTTCTGATTTTGATTAAGGTATTGTGATTGTGTAGTTCATTTAAATATGTACTGTATAATTAAGAAATATAGGTTGTTAATGGATAATCATCGATAATAGTAAAGCTTGTAGTCATGTTAGTTAGATTTTCTAGATATATAGAGATATATTTTAGATAGACATTCTTCATGTCTTTCAAAGATTACAGAATAGGACATTTAATGTTTTAATAACTGAGGACTTTTCATGACAATGAGACACTCTGCTCCTGGCAGCACCAATCTACTTCAAGATGAAGATGGGCATCGAAGAGGCTTGTTATGGAGTTTGATAGCCATTTGGGCAAGAAACTGCTCTTGCCTGGACTATTGCATAAACTGGACACAGAGAACCCACAGAGAGAGGACTACTGAACTTGCCTAAGGTGAGATGATCTTTCGGGGTTCCTGATTCATGAAAGAGTCTGCAAGACATTCTGCAGGACACAACAGATAGTGACTGAACTGACTTTGAATTTTCCTGCTTTATGGAAATGTCTGCTGGATACCATGGGCCTGAAGGCTGAAGATGGATGCCCCAACGGTACAGAGGAACCTTGGGTGACTGTCCAGGCAGCAAGATGTCTCTGTCATTTCTAGAGTTTTAAAAGTTGCTTTTTTCTTGTTTGTTTAGGTAGTATTGTATCTTTCTGGAGTCTTTGATTGAGTTAAGAATAGTTAGTTATAGTTATAGTTTTCCTTAGTTATGATAAAGGTTATTGTAACTTTTAATTGATAACTGTTTTGTTATATGTAATTTTGCTAGGTTAAAGTTAAAGCCTTTTTTTTTTTTGTTTAAACCGAAAAAGGGGAAATGATGGAGGAAATAAAAAGAAATTGCTTGGTCCCCATTGGTTAGAAGATAGGTGGGAGGAGTAAACAGAACAGAACACTGGGAGGAAGAGGAAGTGAGCTCAGACTCCACAGCTCTCCTCTCGGGAGCAGAAGCCTGAGAGAGACGCCATGCCCCGCTCCCGGGCAGACACACGCCATGAAGCGCCGACCCAGGATGGACTAGGCTAAAATCTTCCCGGTAAGACCGGTTCTCACAGATTATTAGAGATGGGTTGATCAGGATGTGAGAATTAGCCTGTAAGTGCTAGAGCTAAAGGGCCAAGCAGTGTTTAAAAGAATACAGTGTCCATGTAATTATTTTGGGGCATAAGCTAGCCGAGCAGGCAGCCGGGGTGCTGGGGACACAGCCCCGCCGCTCTTATTACTACACTTGGCTATTAATGATACATGCTCCACGCATTTTCCCAAAGGGCTACACTGTCATGGTCGCTGTTTCCATGAAGCATCGATCCTCATAAAAACTATATTCATAAACCAGATATCGCTTTCAGCTGCTACCGTTTACATGACTGTCCTTTCCAGGGCATTGTCAGCTCATGCTTCTTGTTTGTGGACTTTGCTTACCCAAGTATGCTCCCTGCCCTGGCCATGGGTGCCTGTGTCCATTTGCATTGCTGACCTTTACTATGAGAGAAAATGAGTGACAGAGAATTTGGACACAAATTGACCCACAGAAGAGCCATCTTTCTTTAAAAAGATATTAAGTAATTGCATCTAGGAAAAGGTAACTTTCTCATTTCCACTATCCTTTTAAGACACGATTCAGGCCTTCCTCTGAATTCTGATTCTATCAGAATCCAGCGGTATAGACTGCTTAAGAACATTTTGTATACGTGGAGGCAAGGGCCGTTTTGGAACAAGAGGCAACGTAAGCCTGAGATGTGGCAATCCTAGGTGGAATGGGTAATTCACACAATCTAAGGATAAGATAACATGATGGCCCTTGGGACCCGGTGAACTGGGCGAGAAAGGACAAAAGAGAAATGGGGATTCTGCTCAAGGACATGGCCTAAAACCAGAGGCCGTTTTACTTCTTTTAGCTGGTGTTGTATCACGTAAGAAATCCTGTGGATAACTCTGTTCTATAAAGCTGGCAAGCCTGCAGCTTTGTCTCCACCAGTCTTTCCCAGCGAATTCCAGATGTCATTAACTGTGTCTAGTCCCCACCTTGGAGGAAAGAGTGGAGTGTCCCATAGGAAAAGCACACATGGCACCTGCCAGCTTGTCAGAGGAAGGAGCTAGTCACTACACCCTAGCCTTAGGCTTCATCCCTCAGCTACATCTGTTCCTGACCTGGGACTTTTTCTTACATAAACTTTTATTCTTTGTGAGTTCTGTTTCCTTTCATGAATACCACTTAGAGAAGTAACACACTTAAGAAATCAATGCTCTTATTCCAGAGACAGCAAAATATTGGCATCACCTGAAGAGAACTTAGAGAAGGTATGATAAGATCAGCTGCAGATATGGATTGTACTGAAGGCACGGTCTTGAAGGAGTCTGCTGTCTGTCTGTCAGGAGAGACTTGCTGCCTGCAATACTATTAAAGCTAGCCATGAAAGAAAGTAATGACCCCCAACTAGAGGGAATCCAATCATTTTTCCAGTCACGATAAGACAAAAACTGCCAATTAAAGCAATTTATGTCTTTTGTCATCACTCCAAAAATAAAATCAATTAACCCATGCATTCTTGACTAATGTGTGTATATAGTATTGCATTATAACACCTATCAGGTACTATGCAAAGGACATGCAAAACAGCATTTATTGCTTCAGCCTCCTAAAAGTACAGGTGTTCTCATCCATAAGGAACTTGATGGATAAGGGAACTGAAGGAAAGAACAGTTATTAAACCGTGCACTGCTCATCTGTTTTTTAGGATTTGAGATGGGACACATGAAGTCCAAAGAGTGTAGCCCAGCTGTTTGTTCCACTTTCTCTGTGACAGCAATCTCTTCTACCTCTAATTCTTGATTGGTGCCAAGAGAGACAAGCACTTTTACAGAGGCGAAATGTCTCTCTATAGGTAATTTTTTTAAAGTGTCGGTGGTGATATTCTCAAAATTTGCAAAAGAAAACCTCATTTTTTTTAAAAAAAAAATCCAATTAGCCTCTCGTGCATAGTCCGTCCAAGATGCCACATTTCTGTCAGCAAAGTCAAGATTCCCACGGAACCCTACACATAGTGTGAACACACCATACAGAACTGATCTGGATGCAGTAGGAAGCGATCAGGACCTCAGCTGCGACTCAGCATGTCTTCAGTTAGGACGTTCAAATTCCAGGCATTTTCTCTCTCTTTCCAAAGAAGCTTGCATTACTTTTTATTTTATTTATGCACATCACTCAAAAAGATCACGGAACCGTTTAAGCCCATTCCTTTTCAATGAGCTATTATTGACCTCCAGCTGACTCCACTCTTAAAAGACTGCATTCGGTGAAGATGGGTTTCAACTCAGTCCTCGGGTCCCACTCCGAAAAAGAGCATCAGCCCTACTGACATTCTGCTCGCTCTTTGAAACCTAAGATGTTGACCCTTCTCAGATATTTGCAGAACAAAATTCTACAGTATTCATATAACCGCTAAACCCACAGCCATAGGGAGGGGCTAGGGTTTCCCTTCCCTTTTCAGATCATGTGCGTCCTTGTGGTTTTATGTCCACGAGACCACAGTCTGGTCTCTGTGGTACACACTTTCTTCAAATCACAGCTCGAAGGCTGTTCTCAGGCTGAAACTCTGTACCTGCGCTATTATTTTTATTGTCATTGTGAAAAGATCTTGAGGGGGGGGACTATACAGATAAACGGTTCAGTATTGAACTGAAATATTAACCCTCCCAGCTGCTGGGAAATTAAACTGGTGTCACCCAATGCCCGAATTTTAAGGTCAGTATCAATTTCCAAGATCCTACTCACCCAAGAGTGAGGCGGAAAGAGCATCAAGACATTGAGAAAAATAAAACACGAGGCCAGAGTCTGTAGCATAGCTCACTTTATTGTTTAAACAGTTTTTGCATAGGAAATATATCCGCTTCCAGTAATTGACTGCAGTATGAGCAGCTGCTAGCAGTATAGGCTGGATATAACAGTAACAATCACATTAAGTCAAGCTTGATTTACACCAGTTTAAAACTTGTGGCAATTGAGTTCATTTGCGACCCACAAAAAGTACACAAAGAACGTTATCCTCCAACTGGGCACAATAAAAACTTCACTAACATTCTGGCCCACTCCGAGGCCCATCCCAGAGGCCTGAACTCCAGAAATTAAGTAACTGTCATATAATACATCCCACTGCGAAAGGTTTGTTACATGGAGATTGTGCATGTGCCTTCCTTTTCAAAAATCTAATTAAAACACAAGGTTCTGTATTTATGGCCCGCGAGGACACAATGCCAAAAGTTTTAAAGTGGATCAACCCTGGTGTGTAGCTAGCAAGCAATAACTGACTACTGTCGCCTACAGTTGTACTAAATGTATCTAAAGAAACACACAGTCCTACAAAAGTTGTTCTCAGAGAAACATTGTTGGGGGGAGGGGGGCACCTCTTCCCAGGATACTCAAAGCTCTCTGTGATAGAAGCACAAATTAACAGCCTGATGAAGACACGCTCTAATGCAGCTCCGAGAAGCCTGTGCCTGGGAAACAGTTGCCCCTCACATTCCACAATGTTGTAGAGATTTTTTTTTTCCCAAGAAAATGTCATTTGAAACATATTTACAACTGAACTCAACAGAGACTGTGAAATTGAACAGGCACTGCTCACTTGTTTGAGTTTTTGGTAAACATTTTGCTGGTTTTTTTGTTTTTTGTTTTTTTTTTGTTTTTTGTTTTTTTGTTTCTTTCTCATTTTGCATCAACTTTTATCAGTCCATGCAACTTCAATGCCCTCGATGAAGAATGCATAATAAGCCATACTTCTTTTTTTTTCTTTAAAAAAAAAAGACTTCCTTCTGCATAAAGAGATATATTTGCCACATCAGTCCCTGTAGCACAGTTTTCAAAACCATTCTGTCAAAAATACAGTAATACAAGACTGGCTTTAGTGTCACTAGCTTCCACTGCTTTTCATGTATTTAGGCCACCTTTTGTTACTGGTACTGTATCATGCAATAAACGTTATCAAAGGCTTAATCTAGGGTCCCCGTAGGCTAGTGCCACTGAAGCGCTTTTCACAATCTCAACATACATTTGAATTGCAACACACAGATATTTCTAAAGAGTATTAACTACTGAACCCTTTTATCTTTAAAAAAAAAAACTACTTACAACCATTGAAGAAAAATTGCAACAAAAAATGTAAAAATTGACCGTCTCCAACTTGTCCCCTTTACTATTAACAATGTGACCAACAGATCTGTGGCACCACACAGTACAAAGAGTTGTCATGGCAATGAGTTTGGCTGATGCAAAGGTCATTGTGCAGGGTCAAAGGGCAAAATCAGTGGTCCATGTTATTCCCCCAGTGCAGGGATCCACTCCACCCACACAATTTTAAGGAATTAGAAAAAAAAACAGGGCAACTACCAGAAAGTGCAAAATATGAAGAAGGCGGCTTCCAGCTCCTTCAGCATGTAAAAACATTCAATTTTGAGTTTTTATTATTGAACTTGAAGAACCTGCACATTAAAAAAAAAATTTTTTTTTTAAATATATTAACTCCAATTCTTAAAAGTCCAGGAAGCATGCAGCTGGTTAATGTTAACCAAAGACCTTGGCAGGAGCATGTAAACTATACTGAGTGTCATGCGTGGGGCCTATCTGCCGGCAAGACTGTCGGCGTGTTGCATGGAGAGTGAATACTGTCCGCTGATTGGGTAACTTTCTGCAGCCTTCATTGTTTCACACAGTCACAGAATCTGCATCTAGGTAGAGAGCATGCCCTGCTTTGCGGCTGAGATGTTCCCGCGCAATCTCTTCCGTTGAGTCCTTATGAAGCTACAAGTGACAAATCCAAGATTCTGCTCCCTGAGGACACATTATGTGAGACATAGCACTAGGTTTTTTTTTTTGTTTTGTTTTTTTTTTTTTTATTATTGTTTCTGCCTATCCTGAATGCTCTGTGAAACTTAACCTTAAATACCATCATGGAATAATCACACAAAAAAAAGTTTGCTAAAGGCCTTATATACTAACGAAGGAGCGCGGTGCTTCCGACATTCTGAAATGCTCTGAAAACCAACTTTTCCAATACTAAATACAACAAAATAACCTTCATAAAATATAACTTTTCTCCATTTACACTTTTTTTTTAAAGGATTAGTGTCCTATGCTTTTCAAGCACAGGAATCTGTGAAACATCTCCTAACATGGACAGATTTTTTTTTTTTTAATACATAACTTAAGATCCTGGAGAGTTTTAACTCAAGTCCAGTCTCTAAACAAGGAATATTCTTGCTTACTTTAAAAATGGAAACAACACACAGTTCCATTATAATTGTTAAAAAGTTAGCTTTACAAACATGGGAATTTTAATTTAAAAAAAAAATTCTTAACAAAACTATACAGTGTACAAATTACTGTCTACAAGGTAGGCGGTTCGTTACGAAGACCTCGCTCTTCTCGCCGCTCACAGCGTCACAGATTCAGTCACGTCCTTGTTAGTGGAGCTGCCCACCCGAACATTACCCGATAACTATATTGCTATCATTAAGGTTTTGCCATGTGTTTATGTACAGTCTCCTTCACTGCCTCTCAGGTTTTTTTCCTTAGGCAAGCCTTGACTGCTCACGTCACTCTGGGGAAACACACTTCAGAGGCACCGTGAGTGGTGGGCTGCAAAGCGAAGGACAAAGGCTGGAGACACCACCCCCTACAGATGCCCTTGGGTGACCTTCACCATCCTGAAGCTCTGCAGTCTGGGTAAAGAAGGGGCGTGCAAGACCTGCAAAAATGGGGCCCTTCGTCAGAATATACTTCCTGGTTTTTTTTCTAAAAAAAAAAAAAATAGGAGGCTAAAAGTGGACTTGAGATTATCTATAGTAGTGCTTTTTAATAAGTTTATCTCAAAAGGAAAAAGAAGAAAAATTATTTAGGAAAAGAAGGAACACTTGCTCTAGGCCTCTGTACCCAAGAGGCAGGCAGGGATGCCACAGTGTGCCATGTCCTTTAGCAAGAATTGTTCAATCACTGGCCACAGGAAGAGGAGTCTGCCTGGAAAGAATACTGTGTCCTGTAAGGTTGCGTTCTCCACCAAATAGGTCAGAAACACATAAAGAGCTTGGCTGGGAGGATTTGCTATCTGCAGAGCAAGTATCACAGAGGCAGTGGGGCTTCCTTGGCCCACTGTGCTATCCAGCATTTCGACATCAAACCGAATGGACTAGTCAGAGACAGTGCTCAGGCCTATGAGCACCGTTCTACAGTACTCGCTAGTAAATGATCTGCTATGCGTACAGTTGACAGTTTATTTTATTAGGCCTTGGCATGGGGGCTGGGGGCAGGAGAGCCTCATGACAATCTACTGTGTATGTCACTAATTCTGAAAGATCTTCTTGGAATAATGAATACACTCAATAGGACCAGGTTGGGGAAGACAAAATACAATTGGCCTTCATTCACCTCCAGCCCTCAGGGGAAACTAACTCAAATATATATATATTTGAAGTACCATCCCTTAAAAAGAAGCCCATCCCATTGTTATCAAACGGGTTTAATTCATCCACAGGAAAATTAGTTGCTTAAAAGTCTATATTTCTCCCTGCTCCAGTTTTCAGTTTACAAGGGCAGGTAAAAGAAAAGGATTTACTTATTTTTGTTCTTTAAAAACTGAACTTTGATTTTAATCTATCAGTCCAAATACATTCAATAAGAGTCACCCTCTCTCTAGCCAACCTTCCGGATGTCAGAGAACAAACTCCCAAGTGCACTACCATCCACTCGAAGTCCTAAGTCACAGGAACATCAATCATCTCCTACCATTGATAAAATGACACGAGGCTGGGAAGGATGGGGGAGCCCTCCCTCCAGATGGGCGAGTGTGTTTGGTAGAAGAAAGCTTATTCCCGTGTTAAACTCAGAAGTGTGAAAAAGCCAACATCTGCTACGTGGGCACTTCAAGAAACGTCTCTGCCAAATATGAGACAGGCTCACTTTCCACTGTGGATTCGGAACTTTCAGGAAAACTATCCACCACAACTAAAACAAGACAGGGCAGTTCGAAGTCTGCCCCTAGGAGGCTTCACTGTGCTTGCTTTTTCTTCCCATTTTCTTAGCTTGAAAACCAGAAATGAGTTCAGCTTGCACCCCAGGTGGGAACGCGGGGGGGGGGGGGGGGGGGGACCTGTGTAAGCTGAAGTTTGTCACAGTAGGCAGAACAGTCGCTTTGCAGCCCAGGCCCATCTCAGGGTGTCCTGCTTCACAGCCACACTGTAAAGTGTTAAAAATCCTCCCACCCACCCTCCAGAATATATATATATATATATATATATATATATATATATATATGTATGTATATTAAAAAAAATCCCCTGTCCATCTCTCAGTACACAAAAGGACCTCATCACACTGCAAAAATAGCAGTACCCACTTTGGTCAATTAAAACAAACAAACAAACAAACAAAAAAGCGTACATTATTTCTTCTCAAATCTGTGTACTTACCTATAATAACCAATACAGCTAAAAGCACTACCTACATAGGCAAAACTTGGTATTGCATAATTCGTATAAATTTGAAACCCCTCCCCCCAAATATTAATTGGAAGATGAAAAACATGAAAGGTTAATAGAAAAAACACCAAAATACTGAAAATATTGCTGGTCGATTACAACTTTGAAGCGGCAACTATACACAGCCATGATATGCTTTTATAAACGTGAGATAAAGGTGTAACTGTCTAAAAAATCCATGATGTCACACATTGTTCTTCGTCTGGAGTACAAAATATTTCATCATAAAAATGGTAAAGATTTAAAACGATAATAAATGCAGCAAAACAAGTGTAGTGATGTCACTTTTGTGGTTTTTTTTGTCTTTTGTTTTTTTTTTTTAAATTTCAAGGCAAGGCACGTAATGTGGACATTATATCTTCGTGCAAATTAGGATTACTGGAAAGAGTACTTTTAATTAAAATTTCAAGAGACATAGAGGCAACATGTGTCTGCCCATGCACACTATGGATCTGTCAATACGAGAGATGGGTTGAACAAGGCTAATGTCTGAAAGCACCATGCACGTTGCCAGCACCCCGATGGCACTTCTCTGAAGAGCGTGTTTCCCTCCCCTATGCCCTGGCGTTTGTTCCCAGCCTGGACGCTGGGAGCTTTACCCTGGTGACATGGATTTACCTGCCTCTTTGTCTCTACGATGCAGATTTTATAGAACCGTTTGTACACCCTATGGGTTCTTGATGCAACCAGTAATTTTAAATAAATAATTCGACCTCTGAGGAGGCTGCAGCTAAGCCAACCTAAGTGCTGTGTTTTCATTCATTTTTTTTTCCATTCAAGCACATGATTTGTCTTGATTTAATGCCTTTTTTAAAAATGCCCTCAAAAACTGAGGGGAAAATAAATTCGCTCAAAATTATTTTAAATTCTTTTTAATCCCCTCAATTTAGAGTCCAAGGGTTGAAGGACTTATAATCACAATTCCCCTTTAGATATAAATTTATAAATTGCACTTGCCTCTGTTAAGTGTTTCTTTTGTGGGGAAAATATTATATTAATTTTTACTGTTGCATGCAGAGGTAACACTTTACCCACACAGAGGCATTTCTTCCATAGAGCCTTTGAGTTCAAACCGTTTTTTTTTCCTATTTTTCATTTTTTTTTTATCCTTTTTTAAGATTTCAAACTGGGTTACACACTGGAAAAGGCTGGGTTAAGGGCCAAAATTTAATAAATCTGTACGGATAACTAAAGGCTACAGAGATTTTATATATATATATATATATATATATATAGTTTTTTTTTTTAACTTTTAGAAATCAGAGTGCTTATAAAATGGCTGGCTCATGGCTCTGTCCCCAGCACCTCTGATGCCTCCTCCTAGCCTTGGTGGGATAACCAGGAATAGTGACTCCATGCGTAAACAACAAGAATACTAACCAAGAAAACTAGCTTATCATGCAAATATTAAGGCATCTAGAAAGTCAGTTAAAATATATTGTCATAGAGACAGAACATCTATTTCCCAGCGGACTTCATGAACAAAGGCTACGTTGCGGGGGGGCTGCAGTTTAGCATCGTGGGATATCATCGACCCTTCGTGTCATTAGAGTGTCAACCTTAAGGGAACTAGTGATTGTAAGTGCTGACATGCTCCCTCGTATCTTCTTCCTCAGCTTCGCTCCTTCCTCCCTTTCTTCCAGTCTTCTTCTTTTCCTTTGCTTTGAGTGTTTTTTCCCCTAATTTTCTTAGACTATTGTTGTGTTTCCTTCCCCTCAGTTGCTTGTCTCCGCTTGAAGGAAAGGTTCTCCAATTATGTTCAAACCATAATTTTGGACATTTGCCGGTAAGATGGGTGTCCTATTTGACACTTGGAAAGGAACCAAGCTAGCCCAGGTACCAGGACTGTTGAGAGGAGAAGGGTAGGAGGGATGGAAGAAAAAAAAAGAGAAACACAATGTTAAAATCGCCAGCCATATTAGAAGTATCAATTCTAAATTCATCAAATTACAACTATCGTATTTTAATTTTTTAAATTAAAATTGTAATAAAGCTTAAAATTTAAGAGCATGCATAAACTATGCTAAATTACACATTTTGTACATATATACATTACAGGCAATAACTTCTGTTTTATACACATCATACAAATATATAATCTCTACAATCTCTTGCTTTCATGAAAAGACCTAAGACGCAGAAAAACATGAAATAGGATACATTCACAACTGCTGAACTCTATCTGATTAAGGATATTCTTTTTCAAATATCCAACCCACTTCAATGTAATAAGTGGAGAATGATTTTTATTGTTCAAACGAAGAAAAAGAAAAGCAGAAATTCCTGGTGATACCAGACTATTGTAGTTTGCTAGACATATTAATTGTGTTTAACCTTTAATTCATAAGACACTCTGGGTAAGATGTTTTTATCTGCCTACTAGGTTACATAAATTTAAAAATGGAATGAAATACATATCCTTTTCTCTTACGAGAAAATAATACATTTTCAGACAGGTCCACATATATTATGCAATTTAAAACACCTAATTATCATACATAACTGAAAAGTTTCAGACAACCAAGCGATGTCTATCCTGAATGCACAGTTCGTTGCCTTCTATGCAGAAGCCCATGTGGAGGGTTCAGCACAGGGGGCTACTGGGCTCTCTGGCGTTTTTCTGCTCCCCTCTATAATTTCTTTTAGATAGAACCAAAGCTTTCTTTTCCATTCATTTTTCCTCACATTGGTTGGCAACAGAGGCCTGAGCATTCCCTGACGTCACCACCAGGAATGGCGGCACATTTGGGATAGCACATTTGAGGACCGAAAGAGAAGGGAAGTGGCCTGTGCCAGCCTTCCTGTCTCTCACCAGTCAGCTGTGCAACAGCCTATCCTGGCCTTGGGATTTACAAACAAGTTTGAAAAAAATTTCTCTAGTTGCTCCTGGCATAATTTCTCATAAAGGTTTCATATGGAGAAAAGGAATGCCAGACAGCCCCACAAAACACCAGACCCCGGACATTCTGGGGTATACCTAACCTACTGCATCATTTGTATTGATACTCAACTTGGAGGTAGCGTCAGCCACACAGCAGCTGCCATTGCTGGACTAATGAAAGATCACACAGACAATTCTGCCCCCAGTTTAGCGATGTCTGGCATGGCCTACTCTTCATGTTTTAAATTTTCTTTAGCATCCTCTACTGTTAGAACCAATAGATGAGATGGAGTTTACTACTGTAGTTAACGATCTAGACATGCCTATCCATTTGACTCGCAAAGGCATAAAAAATGACAATTAACAAAAATAAACCATTTAAAATTAAAAAGACAGATACATAACCTTTTTTTTTTTACTCTGAAGACACCTCAGTATAAAACATGGCTTATTTCTACCTGTCTAGGTATATATTGCCCTACAATGTGTCAAAAGAAAAGAAACCAGTGACCTTTTTCTCAAGGGTTTTAAGATTAAGTAACCAGGTCAACAGCAGCAAATCTTGACTTCTACGTTGCTCATCATTTAGTACGGTGCTTCGCATATGACAAAATTTGAGACAAATAAATCAATGGCCTGAACTCATACCCAACTAATTAAGAGATGCTGACCTTGATTACCTGTATTTATAAGCACACTGTCATCTGAATACCTCTGAATTTAAAACCAAGACGCTCCATACCAAGTTTATGCAGAAAAAAAAAAAATAACACACCAACCTACATATCTTTCTGAGATGATGAATTACCCCAACTCTAAAGACTACATATTTTTACTGAAATCTTTTCTGAGAGACCTGACTGTTTTTCACATATTTTCTCTCTTCCTACACACATCTTCAGAATTATTTCTGTAGTCTGTAGCATTGACTGGAACAATGTTACATAATGTGCCAAGAAACTTATCTGCACCTCAACTGTGCCTCACTGCACTCTGCACAGAGTTCTGTTACGGTACTTATTACATCACCGCAGAACCAGCTGCTCTCCGCAGTTATCTTACTGACGGAAAGGTGAACACCACGGGGGAAGAAATGGCCCAGTCTTATCTCTCCTAATAGAGTCTGGCCTTAAATGAGACTGTTTCTTAACAATAAGGCAAATGACAAAATAGACATCTATAATTTTTAACCTAAAGTAAGCAGCGTGGGCCAAAAGCAAACGTCTAGCTCAACAGATAATCCTTGGCAATAAAATACAGCATCAACAACAAGGCACCTTGTGAAATCAACAAGAATCCCTGAATAGATGAGCTCCACAGAGTCATCTAGAGATTGTATGTTTTGGAGAGTGTCATATGGACAATAAAATACAGCATCAACAACAAGGCACCTTGTGAAATCAACAAGAATCCCCGAATAGATGAGCTCCACAGAGTCATCTAGCGATTGTATGCTTTGGAGAGAGTGTCTTATGGACTGAAAAATAAGTGTGGCACCTATACCAAATACCTGGAGAAAAGATAAGTATCCAGAATAAATGGCTGTTCATCACAGACAGAGGATTCATGCTGTATAATGTGCAACAAATTTTATTTAAATGCTTAGTTAATCTTTTTGAATCTCTGGGCAACATGACGGCCATACCAACACTGCAGAGTGTAGTATATTTGTTGATACTGTTTATGAATGTTTAGGGGAAAGTAAATCTCAAACAGGAACACTATGTAGACCCCCATATATTGGTTTTACAAGCCTCTTATCACCAATCCATAGGTCCAGTTCAAAACCATAAGGACATTCTTTAGAGATCTAACAGCAATTCCCGTAGGGGGAACAATCCTGATAAAATAACTCAATGCCTATAGAATAAGGTTAAATGTTAAATCAAACTAGTTCATTTAATTAAAAAAAAATCACCTAAATTTTCATAGTTCTTCACTGAGAATGCATAAGCACCATCACACTGTGGCTCCCATGTGGGTGCCAATATCCATACCCACACATTTACATAGGCAGATTGGGTACATATAAAATAAATCTTAGTTTTCATTCCTGGGGGAGTTAAAATTATATGAATTACTTTATGTTCAATTAAAAAATCTATACGTTGACTACTAAGAGTTTCACTATATAGCTGAAAGGATTTCCAAAACATTCAAAGCCAACCATGTGTAGCTTCAAGCTTGCACTCACTTCGTTATCATTAGATTTTGCAATGGTAAATCACCTTTAGATAAACTAAAGATGAATCTGTCTGAAACCTGATAACATATAATCAGAAAACATTTGCTGCCCATAACCCCTGGAAACAAAAGCAGTAAGAAAATGATACAAGTATGAAGGATAGGAGTCAAAGAGTTCAAAAGATTTCAGCAGCGTCATGAAACAAAACACAATTCATCTTGATGGCAGGCATGATCAGATAGATCATACACAAAAGACATGCCAGCGAAACTAAAATTTGAGAAACAAGTATCTAGAATATCCTGGAAAATATATTCATCTTACTGTGACCATCTGTGTAAATTGACTCTCACCAACAGGGAAGCCATAAGCCAATTCCTTTGACTTTGGAGATAGTCAGGGAGTTATGGTCCTGATTCATTTTACACTGGAGTCTCTTGTCTTTGTTGAAGAAACTCAATGAATCATTTAACGAACTATTTCAGGGTAATGGGGAAGACTTGGCAATTGAATTAGAAATGACCCGGAGTTCCGAATAACTCAATTCGTAGATTTAGCACAAAAGGAGACATTTCTAGATAGCCACACTGGTGAACAGAAGGTGCCATGTCTGAAGATTTAGTTCTTGAAATGGTCACTATTATCTCCTCTCATGAGTGAAGGAATGTAGACCAATCTCTCCCACATAGTCCTCAGACATAAACAATTCTGTCTGTGTCCCATGGCCATTTCACTATGATAATTTGCCTTCCTATAAAGTGACATGTTGGTCCAACCTTGGCAAGAACTTTTAGAACAGAATTTTCTTAAGGCAAATTTATTTGCTTTAGGAGACAATGAATTTGCCATTCGGTACACAAACTATGTCATAACCTCATCAATGTTGACAAAGGGACTTGTGCACTGAGTGAGCAACAACTTCAAGTTGTCTAGGCCTGTCTTCTCAGGAAGCAAAAATAGCTCCCAGGTAACATTATAGTGAAAGCTAAGGGGAAATGTGGCTTGAAACTCTCAAAAAAACTTGAGAAAAGCAAGAGTTTGGTAGATGGTACCTTTAAAACTTATAGTTCTTAAATCTATATAAACTATAGCTGTTCCACTAAAGGAGTAAACAGATTCTTTATCTCTCAATGAAAGAGAAAAAATTGCAGTGGATGCCAAAGCAACATCTGATGGTCATTAAAAAAAAAATTTCATCATGTGACTGTGCCTTAAAGGCCAAAGTGATTGGTTCTTTGGCTTTTAACACAGTAACCAACCAGAACTACAGGGTGTCAAATAAACATGCATCCAAAGTAAAAAGCTTCACCTGTTAGTCTTAGATCACTAAAATAGCAAGAGCTGTTCAAGGAATGCCTCGATCCATGTACTACTAATTGATACTCATTCCATTCTTAGGCATCCAAACTGCACTAGGTCATATCACGTCAGCGTTCTAATTATACTAATATTTTCCAGGAAGAGTCATAAGATTGGCCATTTAGGTTTACATACTACATTCACTTCAAAGATTGTAGATACTCTTTTAAGAAACTTGAGAACTTGAGAAATGCTAAGCAATAGAGCACAAAGATTAGGCAGATTTATACAAAGTCCAACCATACCAGTGGGCATTTTGTTAATAGTGATAAAACACACAATGGTACAGGAAGCATGAAGACCATATAAAATGACAATTTAGAAAAATTTACCTCCAATTTCTTTTCACCAATTTCAGGTATCACTTATTATTCTTTAAGCTAAACAATAATTTTATTAACAAATTACTAACATGCTGGT